TCCTCCATGTGCACCTGGATATGCACTCCACTGCTCCGTCTGAGCTTCTGAGGAGTCAGCTCTGACATAGGCATTCCACAGTCAGACCAAGGAACCTGCAATTCTCTCCATAGCTGGAGTTCTTGAGTCCAGCAATTCAGTTGGGGAGATCCCCACAGAACCATCATCTGAGGTGATGCCAGACCAGATTCTTGTGTGCATTTGACAATACAGGTTCTGGCACAGTCTGTCACCCAAATCAGCTTATGCACACACTGATGGTTGCAATTGCTAGGTCAATTCTGTCTCCAGCCCTGTCTTCCAGGCAAACTGATGAGTGTTGCAGCCCAGCCCGATCCTGCCCACCACACACTCGGCCTTCACGTACCACCGGGAGCTGTGGCCTAGTTGGAGTGAGCTGCAATAACCCCCACCAGACCTGCCCTTGCTCTGGTTTCCATGCTTGCTAGTATGTACAGCAGACTGTCCTACATCCCATTTGGCTCACACACATGTCAATGGGCATTGAAGCCTACTTCAATCCAACCAGCCCCACTATCCAGTCCACCCTGGTGCCAGCAGGTGCCACTCTCTGTCTAGTCATGCATACCTCTAGTCCTGGTTCTCATGCTCACCAGTGGGAGTGGCAACCCAAGAGGAAAGTGCCCACTGTTTCCCTATTGGGCCCATTCCCACTACTGGATCTTATACTCTCCAGGTGGTTCTGTAGTTTAGCCTGACAGAATTTGCCCACATGCCAGGATCTGCCAGCTGATGCTGTGGCAAAGCCCATCCAAACCACACTCACTCTGACTTATGCATGCACCAGTAGGAATGGTCAGTCCAGCCTGGCTTTCCCCCGATTCAGCTTACATGCAGGCCAACAGGTATACTTGCCGTGCTCGGCCTGGTCTGCCCCCGTTACACATCATGCTTTCCAGTGGGAGTGGAAGTCTAGCAAGGAAGACCTGGGCCAGCTCCTCAGGCTTTGCCTCTCTCCCCTGAGTCTCACATGTGCTGTTGGGTACTGCAGCCCATCCTGGCATGTCCTGCCTGTTCTTGGCATCTGCCAGTGGGTGCTATAGCCTGACTCGTCCTGGGCCACCCATACTTCCTTGTTTTTAATGTCTGTTATACCTTTATTTTTAGTAATATTAATGATTTACTTGAATAAGGGAGTGTCTACTGATACTAATCATCAAAGAGTCACAAAACCAAGAACACTAACATTTGTAAAGTAGATTAGTTCAACAAAAATTACAAGTCACAAATAAATTGAAGGTAGAATAATAAAATAAAATAATAAAATAAGAGAGACTTTAACATTAACTTGTGCCCAAGTCTCCACTTGAGTTAGGAGAGATGGTATGAATCAATTTGAACAGGTTATTTAAACCTCAGTTACTTACATTCACTTTTTATCTAACTAAACAAAATAAGCCAGAAATTTCTGATTTTTGTATTAAAGTCTTTTAAATTAATTAGTAATTTGGTAATCTTACATCATTCATTAGGGTACAAAGGATCAAGGGCTACAGGAAAGTGGGTAATACCATTGTTTCCATGCTAATATCATCATTTTTTCTCCTGTATCTGGGGTCAGGGGAAAAACAAAGGGAAAATCCCCACCCAGCCTCCCACCCATCCCATGTCCACAATGTGGAGCATGCTCTGAGGGTCTTGCTCAAGCAGTTTTGATAGCTTAACAGTTCTGAATTGCTGCCAATCTCACCATTCCAAGCACAATGAAATCTATTCAGAATCCACTGGCTGACATAGTCTCTTCATGGTTGGGATTCTGAGGTTGGAGGGGTGTCCAAAGAAGCTTCATCTGAGGTGATCCCAGACTTGATGCTTCTATGTGCTTGCCAGTACAGGGTCTGGCACTGTCCGTCAACAAATCAGCTTATGCACATGCTGGTCATTGTAATTGTAATTGCTGGGTCAATTCTGTTTCCAACCCTGTTTGCCATGTGACTTGATGGTAGTTGTAGTCCAGCCCGATCCTGTCCACTTCATACTCAGCCCTCACACAAACTAGTGGGAGCTGCAGCCTAGTTGGTGCTACTCCCCAAAACCCCACCAGGTCTGCCCCCCACCCCGGTTCCCATGCATGCCAATATGTACCACAGGCTTGTTCAGTCTGTCCCACATCCCATTTAGTCTTGCACATGTCAGTGGGCATTGAAGCCTAGTTCAACCCAACCAACCCTACTATCCAGCCCACACACATACTGGTGGGTGCCTTTTTGTCTAGCCACCTCTGTCCCTGTCCTGGTTTTCGTGCTCTCCAGTGAAAGTGGTAACCCATGAGGGAGGTGCCCATTATTTCCCTAGTAGGCCACTCCCACTCCTGGATTATGCACTCTCCAGGTGGTTCCGGAGTTTAATTTGACAGATTTAGCCCCCAGTACCAGTCTCTGCCAGCTGATGCTGCGGCAAAGCCCAACCAACCCTCACCCACTCTAATTTTTGCTTGCTCCTTGGTCTTAACCCCTTGGATCCCAGAAGCAGCGTGCAAAGATCCTCCAACTGGGATACACATTTCTGTTCACTTGTCAGGCACCTTAAGAAAGGGGCCTGATGGGAACTTGTCATACTTTTTCTTGCCACAGGGCATCATTGAGGTTATCTTCAATATTATTTGAGTCCAAATTCTTCAAGTGTTGTAGTCAGAACAGTCAGCCCAACCTGGCTTTTCCCTGATCTAGCTCACATGAGGCCCACAACTCCTCTCCCAACCAGGCCTGTTCCCAGCCAGAGATCACTTGAATGCCAGTGGTTGCTCTGATCCAGCTTGGCATAGGCCCTCATCTGTCATGGCCTTTGCCTTTGGATGCTGTAGCCTGGCCTAAACCATCCTGTTCCCAGTCCCAGCTCTCACTGGCAGGTGCTGGAACCTGGCCCTGCTCAGTCTACTCCCATCACTGGCTCATGCAAACCAACAGGTGTGACAGCCTAGCCCAGCATGACCTGAGCTCCAACCTGGTTTCTGCACTTGCCGGTGAGCAAAGATCTGCTCAACCCTGCCAAGTCTGCCCCCTTCCAAAACCCACACATTAGTCAACAGTTGGAGCTACCTTGCCCAGCCTACCTGACTCCTAGGCCTGGACCCTGTGCTCACTAGCAGGAGCTATGACCCACTAGGGGAGTTTCCCAATTTCCCCTATGCAGCCCACTCCCAGACTCAGATCTTATACATGCCAGTGGGTGCTAGGTCCTTGCCCAGCATAACCTGCTCCTTTTTTTTGGCCTAGCACGAGCTGGTGAATGAGCATTAAATTTGCCATATGGGTGCTGGTTCTAACCCTGGCAGCCCTGCTTTCTATCCAGCTCCCTGCTTGTGGCCTGGGAAAGCATTTAAGGATGGCCCAAAGCCTTGGGACCCTGCACCTGGGTAGGAGACCCAGAAGAGGCTCTGCACTCCTGGCACTGGATCAGCTCAATTCCAGGCATTGTGGCAACTGGGGCAGTGAATCAGCAGACAGAATGTCTTTCTCTCTGTCTCTCCTCCTCTCTGTATATCTGACTTTGCAATAAAAATAATCTTTTTTTTTTGAAAGAAGTGGACATGAAACCATGAGCAGGAAGTTCTTTAAGTATGAATGTCAAATCACCTACATACATGAAAAAATTTTTAGCATCACTAGCCATCACGGAATTGCAAGTGAAAACCACAATGAGGTTTCAACTCACTCCAGTTGGAATGACTTTTGTCCAAAAACCAAACCAAAACAAAACAAAACATTAAATGCTGATGACAATGAACTGGAAAAGGTATGCTAATATACAACCACTATAGAAGACAATATGAAGATTTCTCAATAATTTACCCAAACAAAATAAAATCATCATGTGAACGAGCAATATGTCCTCTAGTGTTTATGGTAGCTCAATTCACAGTGGTTATCTTATAAAATCAAACCAGAATCCCATGAACAAATGACTGGGTAAAGAAAGTATGATATGGGCCCTTACAATTATTTTACAGACTAATCCTATACATATTGGCATTCCAAATGGGCACTGTTTCATGTCCCAGCTGCTCAAATTCACATCAAGCTCTCTGATTATGGCCTGGGGAAGCAGTGGAGCCTGGTCTGAGTCTTTGGGTCCCTGCATTCACAAGGGGGACCTGGAATAAGTTTCTGACTCCTGGCTTCAGATCACCTCAGCTCTGGCGACTGCAGCCATTTGGAGTGTATACCAGAGGATGGAAAATCTTTATCTCCATCTTTCTTTCTGTAAATCTACCTTTCAAGAAAAATAAATATATCTTGAAAAAAAATAAAATGCACACACACACACACACACACACACACACACACACACACTGTATGGATTACTACTCAGCCCTAAAAAGAATGAATTCCTGTCTTTCATAACATAAAGCATGCAACTGGAAATCATTATTCTTAGTGAAATATGCCAGTTTCAAAAATAGAGTATCACATATTTTCTTTGATATGGCAGTTGAGATAAAATATAAAAATGTATAGGAATGAACAGATCATCTGGGATACAAATGTCATTTCTAGTTTTTATTTAAATACTTCTGTAGAAATGTGGTCTTTCTACTCTTTACTTGTTCAGAGTTACGGTTTGTTCCAAATTAAGTCTGTAAATTAAGTGAATTAAAATAATGTCTTAGTAAAATCTAAAGAAGAGAGGATAGGGAAGATGGAGGAGTGGATATCTTTTTAGAACTCTACCTCTGGAATGTATGAAATCCATTCTCTTTACATTAATAAAAAGAAATGCTAGTGGAAGTTCTTTAAGTTGAATTAAAACAATGCTAACGGGAGAAAAATATCAGAAGGCAGGAAATTCAGACATTCTTAATGCTCGATTATGGCAAAAATGGTGCACATATTATTCATAACTTTATACTGAAGAGTAAAGGTTAATTCATTGAATTGTAGGAGGCAGACAGTATGGAAAGAAGCAAAAGCATCAACCATGCAAACTCTGTTGGGGGAATGTAGTACAAACATAGAGTTCTTTGTTAGTTTTTTTTTTTAATTTCAGCTTTTTGTTGTTGCTTACCTGATAGTTAATGTTAAAATCTTATCATGTCTTACACATCTCTGGGTCATGACCTTGCCTCTGCCAGGATGCCAAAGACTGTCCCAACCATCACAGAGGTGGCTAAGGCAGGGAGTCATTTGAATTCCAGGTGTAAGATAACAGATTCCAGACCATCCATATCAAAGTTTCAGGAATGCAGCCACTATTTCTTGGAGTGCAAATGAGCCCATGGAGCAGGTCTTGCAAAGGTGACTCTTCCTAAGAAACAGAAGCCATGATAGTTCCACGATGATTATGACCATTTGCTTATTCCTACCCTTAATCAGTAAGTGGTGAAAAGGCAGTCAGCCTTGTATACTTGACACACAACATCCAGAAAAAAAAAAAGCCATGACCATGAAGTAATTCAACCTACTGACCATTAGCAGTAAATGTTTTATTCCAAGATACATGGAATATGAACATTTGGCACACAACTGGTGGAAGAACTTAATTTTTTGGCACCTATCAATAAGGCAAATGTGAATGGGAGCATATTTGATGGGTGTGTGGATAAATGCGACTTAGCTTGCCAAATATTGGTAGGGATGTATTTGAAAAAAAAAAAAGTGTGGCTTTTTTTTTTAAGATTTATTATTTTTTTTTATTGGAAAGGCGAATACACAGAGAGGAGAGACAGAGAGGAAGATCTTCCGTCCGATGATTCACTCCCCAAGTGAGCGCAACGGCCGATGTTATGCCGATCCGAAGCCAGGAGCCTCTTCCAGGTCTCCCACGCGGGTGCAGGGTCCCAAAGCTTTGGGCTGTCCTCGACTGCCTTCCCGGGCCACAGGCAGGGAGCTGGAAGGGAAGCGGGGCTGCTGGGATAGAACCGGCACCCATATGGGATCCCAGGCGTGCAAGGCGAGGACCTTAACCACTTGCGCCACAGCGCCGGGCCCAAAGTGTGGCATTTTTAGTGAAGGTGTAAACATCACTTATCACTTAGCCCATGGGAAACTATATTTGCATGGCACCCTGAAGACATGGACCTTCACAGCATCAATAATCTCACTTTGGAGAACCCAAGTCCTGAAGCATGGAAAATGACGTAAAAGAAGTAGGGGTGACAAAGTTAATAGCATAATTAAAGATGATGTTTTTGGGGCTGGGCACGTGAATGGGGCACCATACCAGCCACTTTTGATTGGTGGGAGGGTGCACAGCCTAGCCTCCCGAGCCAAGAATTCCATGGCACTGGCTGCTTAAATGTGGCTGGAACCATCTTAGCTCATGCTGGGCATGTGAAGAGGACCTTCCACCCACAAGCATGGTGTATGGATTATGCCAGGTCGAAGTGCAAAAACAGCCATTTAACTGGGTGCTTGCTGTGCTGATCTAGGCTGTAGTCCCCACCATTGCATGAGCTGAAATTGGGGATGGGCTAGGCCAGGCTATAGCACCCACTGGCAGATGCCAAGAACAGGCAGGACATGCCAGGATGGGCTGCAGTACCCAACAGCACATGTGAGACTCAGGGGAGAGAGGCAAAGCCTGAGGAGCTGGCCCAGGTCTTCCTTGCTAGACTTCCACTCCCACTGGAAAGCATGATGTGTAACGGGGGCAGACCAGGCCGAGCACGGCAAGTATACCTGTTGGCCTGCATGTAAGCTGAATCGGGGGAAAGCCAGGCTGGACTGACCATTCCTACTGGTGCATGCATAAGTCAGAGTGAGTGTGGTTTGGATGGGCTTTGCCACAGCATCAGCTGGCAGATCCTGGCATGTGGGCAAATTCTGTCAGGCTAAACTGCAGAACCACCTGGAGAGTATAAGATCCAGTAGTGGGAATGGGCCCAATAGGGAAACAGTGGGCACTTTCCTCTTGGGTTGCCACTCCCACTGGTGAGCATGAGAACCAGGACTAGAGGTATGCATGACTAGACAGAGAGTGGCACCTGCTGGCACCAGGGTGGACTGGATAGTGGGGCTGGTTGGATTGAAGTAGGCTTCAATGCCCATTGACATGTGTGTGAGCCAAATGGGATGTAGGACAGTCTGCTGTACATACTAGCAAGCATGGAAACCAGAGCAAGGGCAGGTCTGGTGGGGGTTATTGCAGCTCACTCCAACTAGGCCACAGCTCCCGGTGGTACGTGAAGGCCGAGTGTGTGGTGGGCAGGATCGGGCTGGGCTGCAACACTCATCAGTTTGCCTGGAAGACAGGGCTGGAGACAGAATTGACCTAGCAATTGCAACCATCAGTGTGTGCATAAGCTGATTTGGGTGACAGACTGTGCCAGAACCTGTATTGTCAAATGCATACAAGAATCTGGTCTGGCATCACCTCAGATGATGGTTCTGTGGGGATCTCCCCAACTGAATTGCTGGACTCAAGAATTCCAGCTATAGAGAGAATTGCAGGTTCCTTGGTCTGACTTTGGAATGCCTATGTCAGAGCTGACTCCTCAGAAGCTCAGACGGAGCAGTGGAGTGCATATCCAGGTGCACATGGAGGATATGATAGTACACTGGAGCCTGCAGAGGACACCTGGTGCTACCACAGAGGACAGAAGTCAGAACAAATTGATCAACTACCCTAGCCAAGTGTTGGCAGGGAATAACTCTGCAAACAGAGACTCTGAGTTGGACTATGTCAACCAGTGGATTCTGGAGAGATTTCATCCTGCTTGGATTGGCAAGATTGGTAGAAATTCAGAATTGTGTAACTGTCAAAACCTCATGAGCAGGACCCTCAGAACATGCCCCACATCAGGGGCCCTGGGTTGGCATTAGTGACTGTCTTCCATTCCAGGGTATGGATGTGTTTGGGAGGCTGGGTGTGGCTGCTCCTCATCATATCTCTTCCCTTTCCTCAGATACAGGAAAAAAGAGAGAGAGAATGTGGAAATAAAAGTCTCACTCACCTTCCTCTAATTCTTGACCTTTTTCACTGTAATCATCTTGATAAAATTCATCAAAAATAAAATTTTTAAACAGTTGATGTTCTTTTTCCTAACATCATATATCAGGCACCCCAACAGGTTCACAGAATTTGATCTCATAATTTCACTACTTGGACTGACTGTGGTTCTAGAAAATACACGTATTTAGCTTTGTAGAGTAGTAGAATTCATTCAGCAAAGCTATGGAAACGATCTGGCTGTGTAGCAGATACACACTGGTTGCTTAAAGAGGTCTGGTCATATGTGAGAATTTGTGCAACACTTAGCACAGATATAAGATGCTAGAGAAAGAGATACAAAGCTATTAAGATATTTAAAGTGGAATTGGCATTGTGGTATAACAGGTTTAGCTTCTACTTGCAATACTGCACAATCCATTTGGGCAGTAGTTCAAGTCCCACCTGCACCATTTTAGACCCACACCTGGGAGAGCAGCAGAACATAGCTCAAGTCCATGGCTGTCTTCTACCCATGTGGAAAACCCATGGGAATCTCCTTGTTTTTTGTCTCCTCTTTCAGCCTGGTCCAACTCTGGCCAAAGTGGCCAACTAGGGAGTGAACTGCAAGATATAAGATCTCTATCTTTTCCTCACTCTGTGTAATTAAAGAAAAATAAACAAAAGCGATTCTGACAGATTAAATCAGGGTGTGTGTGTGTGTGTGTGTACGTATGTATGTGGGTGTGTCTGTGTGTGTGTATAGAACTGAATTATCCATCTAGGGGTATAAATAATTATTCCTAATGAAAGGGGAGATTTTATTTTTGTTAACTTCGTTAGAACTAATTTTTATGTATCTTAAATATCATTCATTTAAAGTACACTGTTATTTTTAGTACATTTATGGTGTAGTTCTATTTTCATAATTATACTTTTAAAAGATGACCCAAGAGATATAAAAAAGAAAAGTTGAATTTTAAATTTAAGAGACAATAAAAGTGTTTTATTAGTCTACTACGCAATAAATATAATTGCAAATAATCTTCCTGAACCTAATGCTCAAAGACTTCAGCCAGACTTTCAAAATCAGATTCCATTGGTAGCAGTAAATAATCTCACATAAGCTTTATATTTTCCACCAAATGGTTCTAGCAAGTTTAAATTTACCATGTGTAATTTCAATTCCAGACTCTACTGTCTCCAGTGTAATCTGCTTTAGTGGGAAGATGACAACAAAATGATATAAATTTGTTTTATTCTTAATATCAGTGTGAGTAATGGTAAACACAGACTTTTGTTTAGATTTGGACTCGAATGCTGACAATGTTACTTGTTTGCTACACTTTCCCTGGCTACCTCCTGTGTACACTGGAGTGAATGATGTCACTTATTTGCCAAGTGGCTACCAACATAATAACTATAAAGCACTTAACATAGTAGCTGGAATGTTCCTAGGCTCATTCACTGGAATAACTACTGTAATTATGAATTGTATCACATTAGCATACACCCATATACATACACACCTTGTTTCTCATACCACACCAACCATAACAAAAGCAATAAAGGACATGAGCTACAATTAAGAAAGTATTCCTGCACCCCTCCCGTTTTCCCTAGACGCCTGTTGGCACCACCACTCAAGTGGCACCCCCACTTGAGCACTCATGTCACAACTGAGTGGGTTTCCGACCACATTGTCCTTTTCTGCTCTGCATCAAGTGCCTCTCCCGCTGACCTTCCTCTGGCATCAGTGACCTGTCTCCCAACTGCATGGTTATGATTTCCCAATTATCGCATTTGGGAAACTCCAAAATACAGTGTTGTACCTTAAAGGAATAATTCAGCCACCACAAAATAGGATCGTCAAATAAAGTTGGCAAGAACCTCCGTACTTATTTGCTGAAAAACTCTATACCTACATATATTTACATCCACATAAAAGGTCCCCCAAACATTTTTGAGATTTTCCCAATGTATTTTACTTATAAATCCCTTAGATTCTTCTGATAGCCTTCTTGTAAATGTGTATGTGCCTGTGGTTTGTAGCTGTCTTGTGTTTTTCCCTTAGTGAGACAGCTGTTACTGCTCTAAAGAAAGTTTGCAAAATTCCAAGCACCAAGAGCCCTTGTTTCACTTTGCCAAGAGGCCAACTTCAAGACTGGGTTCTGAAATACCCAGAGTGAGTTCTGGAGCACTTATTCTGTGCAGATAAACTGTTCTCTCATTGTAGTTGGGTTGGTATCGCCCTAGTTGCTAATGAGGCTCAATACTATTTCACACATTTGTTCATTATTTGACTCTTTTTTTTTTCCTGAAGGGCCTTTTGAAAGTATTTTGAGCACTTTTTGATTATATTTAAAATGCATTGTATCCCTTTGCTGTAACTAATATGCACTCATATAACCTTCCCACATTATGGCTTATTTATTCACAATATTAGATGTTTCCTGAATGAAAAATTTCTAAATCTAATATAGCTCAATTTATCCTTTTTGTGGTTTATGGTGCTTCCACAATTCTTAGAAAAATCATTCCTTACACCAAGATCCTAGAGATGTTCTTCACTTTCTAACCTTCACATTTGGTTTAAATTCACTTAGAACTTTTTAGTTACTTATTTGAAAGGCAGAGCTACAGAGAGAGAGAAAGAGAAAGCTCCTAATGATTCACTCCCCAAATGGCCACAATGGCCTGCTGCATCAGGTTGAAGCCAGAAGCTTAATCCAGCTTTCCCCCTTGAGGAAATGAGCACAAATACTTGAACCATCCTCTCTTGCTTTCTCAGGTACTTTAGTAGGGATCTGGATCAGAAGCGAAGCAGCCAAGATTCAAACTTCTGACCATATCAGATGCATGCATTGCAAGAGGTGGCTTAACCCTCTGCTACAACATCAGTGTCCTTGGACTTATTTTTATATAAACTATTAAAAATGGGTTAAGATGGATGGTGCTGTGGCATGTAGGTTAAGCCTCTGTCTGCGATGCCAGAATTCTGTATGGGTGCCAGTTTAAGTCCCAGCTGCTTAATTTCTGATCCAGCTCCCTGCCAATGTACCCAGGAAAGCAGTGCAAGATGGCCCAAATTTTTGGGCTCCTGCACCTGTTTGGGAGGCCTGGAAGAAGCAACATGCTCATGTCTTCTGACTGGCCAAGCTTGAGCTGTTGCAGCCACTTAGGGAGTGAATGAGTAGATGGAAGATTGTCTTTGTCTCTTTTTCTCCTCCTCTTCCTCTCCCTCTTCCTTTCTCTCTCTCTCTCTCTCTCTATCTCTCACTTTTCCTTTCAAATAACAATAAATCTTTCTTTAAAAGGGGAGGATCAGGAGTCACATGCCAATCCTAGGGACTTTTATTTACAAAATATAAGCTTGAGGCCATTATAGTCACTAAAGCCATTGCCCATGACACCAGGATCCCTGTGAGCTGTTTAACTTCTGATCCATGTCCATGCTCATGGACTGGGAGAACCAGCAGGAGATGGTTCAAGTACTTTGGGCCCTACTGTCCATGCGGGAGACCCAGAAGGAGACCTGGAAGAAGCTCTCAGATCCTGGTTTTGGCTAGGCCTAGCCCTGGCAACTGTGGCCATTTGGGAGGTGATCCAACAGATGGAAGATCTCTAGCTCTTTCTCTCCCCCCACTCCTCTGGTTCTCTCTCTCTAATTCTGTCTTTCAAATACATAAAGAAATGTTTAAAAACACATTCTTTCCTTATTTGCAGAACCAACATGCTCTTTAATTGGGTCTCCATGAATGTGTATCTGAATTCTGCTGTCCATTTCAGTGGTGAATTGCCTATAGTGGGGCTGGCAAGGTAGCCTAGTGGCTAAAGTCCTCACCTTGCATTCGAAGAGATCCATACTGGTGCATGTCCTGGCGGCCTTGCTTCCCATTCATCTCCCTGCTTGTGGCCTGGGAAAGCAGTCAAGAAAAGCCCTTTAGGACCTTGCACCTGTGTGGGAGAGTCAGAAGAAGCTCCTGGCTTCATATCAGCTCAGCTCCAACCATTGCAGCCATTTTGGGAGTGAATTATCAGATGGAAGATCTTCTTCTTTCGCTCTTCCTCTCTGTATATCTGCCTTTCCAACAAAATTTACAATCTTAAAAAAAAGAAACATTATGATAAGTACGACATTTGATACCATAAATAACTTACCTCTTTGTTTTTCCATTAAGGTCACCTTTGGTTCTAATTGGATCTCAGAGTTTTCAGTTTTACCATAAATCTTTTATGGATTTCCTTGCAGTTCTACTAGATTTTTATGGAACAATTTTGAAAGCTTTTTAACATATGGAAAACATTGAGTGCTCCAGTCAAGAACATAATTTTCATTGCATTTGATTTTTTTAAATTAATTACATTGCATTATGTGACACAGTTTCATAGGCTCTGGGATTCCCCCAACACTTTCCCATACCCTCCCCCCCATAGTGGATTCTTCCACCTTTTTGCAGTATTACAGTTCAAATTCAGTCAAGATTCTTTCATTGCAAGCATTTACCAAACATACAGTCCAGCATCTTATTGTCCAGATAAATTCAACGATTTCTTGGGGAGACCATCTCTGGTCTGAAGGTAGAGCTGGCAGAATATCATGCCGATCTATTAAAAGCCCCAACATAACATCAACAACAATTTGCAATATTATGGAATTAATTGACGTGGTATTGGGTAACCAATATGTTTAAAAATATTGCATTTGTTTTGTGTCCTCTAAATATGCATGGCAGGATATTGTAATTTCATGTTAAGAACCTACACCTTTCATTACTTTGTCCCTACATTTTTTTTAAAGATTTATTTTTATTATTTTTTTATTGGAAAGGCGGATATACAGAGAGGAGAGACAGAGAGGAAGATCTTCCGTCCAATGATTCAATGATTCACTCCCCAAGTGAGCACAACGGGCCGATACTATGCTGATCCGAAGCCAGGAGCCTCTTCCGGGTCTCCCACGCGGGTGCAGGGTCCCAAGGCTTTGGGCCGTCTTGGACTGCTTTCCCGGGCCACAGGCAGGGAGCTGGAAGGGAAGCGGGGCTGCTGGGATAGAACCGGCACCCATATGGGATCCCTGGCGTGCAAGGCGAGGACCTTAACCACTTGCGCCACCGCGCTGGACCCATGTCCCTACATTTTGATGTTTTGCTCCTTTTGATATTTTCAGCTCCTCAAGTTTTTTTGCTATTAATAAATATACTCACATATGTTAATCTTCATTCTGTAATCCTATAAATCTACTCATTAATAGTTCAGTTGTAGATCATTTTTGTACATAGAATACCATTCTTCCTCCTTTTCAAAGCTCTCTTTCTTGATTTATCATTCTCTAGAGGAGTTGGGCTAAGAAAAGTCCTTTGTATTCCTTATTTGAAAGAATTTCCCACTAAAATCAAGCTCTTGGTTCCTGGCTTTGGACTGGCCCAGCACTGGCTGTTGTGGCCATTTGGGGAGTAAAGCAGCTGATGAAGTCTCTCTCCCTTGTGCTCTCCCTTCTCCTTTCTAACTCTGCTTTTCAAAATGCAGTTTTCTGCTTTCAGAAAAATGTTAACCTTATTTCTCAACATAAGTTCCATTGATTCAAAACACTTGTAAGTGATGCAATGACTCCCTCCTGTGAATTTGATGATGTACAAGAAGTGTTTTTACATTATTAACTGCAGAAAAATCAGTAGGGGCCAAAGCAGGCCTGTAAGTAGATTCCCAAAGATTTTCCATTAAAATTCCCACAAAATGCCCCTTTTGATTAGAGGAATTTGAAAGAACATTGTTGTGGTCAAGAAGGAATCTCTGGTGAGATTCCGTGGTAGTTAATTTTCTCCAAACACTCTCATAAGATGTAGAGGTTGCTGTTCTCTGGCCTTCAGAGCATCAAGTCAAATGCCTGAAGGATCCCATTTCTGTGACCGCTGCTATGACTGGCCCCTATTGCTTCATCTTTAGTACAGTACAGACAAACCAATGTTTCAGTTCTTATTACGGTTCTTAGAATGAAGGCTTCTGTGGGGTTTTTCTTTGTTTGTCTTTTAAGATCTTATTTATTGGATCTGCAGTCTTCACATACGGGGTAAAGCTGCTGCCAATGTTCCATATGGTGCCCATTTGAATCCTGTAGTTTCTGGATTCAGATCTCTGCTAATATGACTGGAAAAGCCGCAGAAGATGGTCCTAGAACTTGGGCACTTGCACCCAAGTGGAACATCTGAAAGAAACTCCTGGCTTGGGCCTGGCCCTGCTTTAGCCATTGTAGCCATTGCGGAGTGAACCAATAGGTGAAAAATCTCTCTATCTCTGTCTTCACCGCTCTCTAAGCTCTAATTTTAATTAAATTTTAAATCAATAAATTCTTGAAAGAGAGAGAGAAATCTTTCATCTGCTGGTTCACTATCCAAATGGCAGCAATGCATTAAGTTGATGCTAGATGCCAAGATCTTCCTCCAATTTCCCACCAGGGCTACAGGGATCCAAACATCTAAGCCATCTTCTGCTGTTTTCCTAGTTATATTAGCAGGGAGCTGAATCAGAAGTGAAGCAACAAGGAACTCAAGCTAGCATCCAGATGGCATACCAGCAGCAGTTTAATACACTATGCCACATTAGTCATAATTGTGTAAGCTGAACCAATTGAGATGTCCACGGAGCTCACTATCACTAACCATCAGTCACCTGTGATTAGATTACAAATGTTATGAACTTTTTCCTCATAAGTTAAGGTGGTCTGCTTGCGTGCTTTTTCTTCAACTTCATCTTGTCACTTTTTAAAACAAATTTCCATTTATAAATTGCTGATTTGCTTGGGGCATTAACACACTGACTTTTTGTAACATGTCAGTGTTTTCACCTTTTTTCACCCAAATTTCAACAATTTATTGTTTGTTGTTGCTTTAGAGTTTAAAGAATTCATAATGCATTGATAGGGATTCTTTTTAAACTGATGCCATATCCCTCTTGGTGATTCATATGAGGACCTATTCAGATACATTATAGCAAAATAGTATTAACTTATTTGTAAGAAAAAAATATTTTAAAATCCATGCATTTTTTTCAAAATAGGCATTTTCAAAGAATTTTTTAAGATAATTAATACTTGTCAGCTAAGTAATTTTTTAAAAATGGTGCCACTGAAATCTATTGTTTATCTACTATTGTTCTTTCATTTTTCTGCTTTTATTATTATTATTATTATTGGGATACAGTTCCATAGGCTCTGAGATTTTCCTTATCCCTCTCCCCATATTGCCTTTCCAACCTCACTGATTTCCCCCATGTTATTACAATAGTATAGTTATTTGTAAACAGTCATAAGTCCATCAATGCAGGCATGCACATTGGCAGAGTCCAGTATCCTAATGTCAAGATATATTTAACAGTTTCATTGTGAGTCTATCTTTGATCTGGAAGTAGAGATGCACACTGCATTGTATCCTCACATCTGAATATGATAGTCTCCATTATACAGTTATTATATATCCCCTTAAATGAAAAGTCACAAAACAAAATCAACAACAGGAAGAAAAATAGAAATTTACAATGCCATAAAGTTAAATAACATGACTAATATGTTGCTTGGAAATGAAAAAGGAAATCAAGAGCCTTCTTGAAGAGAATGATGCTACTGGATTATCTGAGTCAGTGAAAACTTCAATGAGACAAAAAACTGTTTTGAAGAACTGAAAATAAAAACAAAAACATAAAAATCCATGTGATATAGTCTTCTGCTGGCAACATATAAAAGGGTTTTTGTTTTTTAATCCAGTCTACTAATCTATGATGTATGGTTGATGAGCTTAAGCCATTTACATTCAGGGTTCGTATGAATGGGTGGTGATTTAGTCCTGTCATTTTAGTAATGGGTTACTCATTGTTTGATTTAATATTCTGTTATTATACTGGGATGTTTTTCACATTTTCCTTTGGTATGAGTGGGAGCTATTGCTTTTCTCTGTCTAGAGAACATCTTTAAGTATTATTTGTAGGGCAAGTCTGGAACAGGCATATTTGAGCTTTTCCTTACTGTTGGAAGAATTTTATTTCATTTTCAAAGACAAAGGAAAGCTTTGCTGGGTACATTATTCTAGGCTGACAATCTTTTCCTCTTAGGATCTGGAATATGTCACTCCATTCTCTTCTGGCCTGTAGAGTTTCCTGTGAGAGGTCAGCTATGAGTTTGATTGCCATTCTTTTACATGTCAATTTTTTTCACATGCACATTTAAGCATCTTTTCCTTATGTTCAACTGGAGAAAGCTTGATTATCATGTGTCATGGTGAAGATTGCTTTTGGTCAACCCTGTTGGAAATTTTGAACCACTTCTGCATTCTGTTTCTCAATTCTTTCTCCAGATGAGGGAAATTTTATTTCATTATTTCATTGGATACATTTTAAAACCCAGTTTCTCTTTCTGTGGCTTCTGGAACTCCCATAGCTTTTATATTTGGCCTTTTAATAGTATCCCTTAATTCTTGAATATTTTTCTCTTAGTTTGACTCAGTTCTTCCAGCTTTTTGATTATTTCCCTATTCTGACAAGAAATACTTTCCAATTCTGAGAGTCTTTCTTCTGCTTCATTCATTCCATTAGGGGAGACTTTCCACTGAATTTTCAATTTACTCCATTATGTCCTTCATTTCTAATAATTCTGCTTGATTTCGTTTCAGTATTACTATTTCCTGTGTGACATATTCCTTTGATTCCTTGAACTCCAGTATGTGCTTCTCATTACTGGTAAGAAGCTTTATAACAAATGTTTTGAATTCTTGATCCCAATTTTCTCAATGCATTTCTCAGTTAACTCTGAGGTTGGCAAACGCTTTTTCTCCTTCGTGGGAGAGTCTTCAGTAATACCAATTGTGCCTCTGTCTTTTTTTTTTTTTTTTTTTTTGCTCTTGGTCGTTGTACTTCTGGTTAGCAGGATTTTTCTCCTC